AGATCATTGGCAAAGTTATCTGTGGTACCCATGAGCTGATGGTGCGTGTGGAAAATGGATGATTGAATAGTAAGATTCACGTGCTTTCTACTTCACCAGAAATCTTCAATAGAATACCCATAATTTCAGCAAAGCTGAGTGTGCATGTGACAGGTGCTGACAAGGCTGAAAAAAGTAGGTGCCTCTTCGATTTCTGAGATCGACCCTCGTGGTCTCTGAGCAGTCCAGCTTTTGAGAAAGCAAGCGCCTCTTCGATTTCTGAGATCGACCTTCGTGGTCTTTGAGCAGCCCAGCTTTTGAGAAAACAAACACCTCTTCGATTTCTGAGATCGGCCCTTGTGGTTTCTGAGCAACCCAACTTTTAAAGCAAACGCCTCTTCGATTTCTGAGCAGGCGCCTCTTCGATTTCTGAAGCTTCGTCGAGTGCAGATTTTTATAGAGGCTGGCATTAAGTTCCAAAGCACACTTGAATCTCCACCAGTAGAAGCTCCCTTCTTGTACTTCTAAGATCTTGATTTGTCCGACCTCTTCTCTCTTCAACACCTTTGAAAATGTCTGGCCCCTCCGACCATCGTTTTGACTTGAACCTTGTTGAAAAGGCAGCCACGCCTTCTCCAGACAACATAGGGCGCCCATCATTCTGATCCCCTACTGGTCATCTTACCGTTGGGGATTTCGTGATGAAGAATGATATGACCGCTGCGGTGGTGGCTAGGAACCTTCTCACTCCCAAAAATAACAGACTACTTTCCAAACGGTCTGATGAGTTGGCTGTTAAGGATTCTTTGGCACTGAGTGTTCAGTGTGCAGGTTCTGTGTCTAATATGGCCCAACACCTATTTGCTCGAACCCGCCAAGTTGAATCATTAGCGGCTGAAGTGATGAGTCTCAAACAGGAGATTAGAGGGTTCAAGCATGAGAATAAACAGTTGCACCAGCTCGCACATGACTATGCTACAAACATGAAGAGGAAGCTTGACCAGATGAAGGAATCTGATGGTCAGGTTTTACTTGATCATCAGCGGTTTATGGGTTTGTTCCAAAAGCATTTATTGCTTTCGTCTTTTAGGGCTGTACCGCGTAATGAAGCTCCAAATGATCAACCTCTGATGCCTCCTCCTTCTAGGGTTCTGTCCAGTACTGAGGCTCCGAATGATCCCCCTCCGGTGCCTTCTCTTTCTGGGGCTCTACTGACTGCTGAGTCTTCTCTTAAGCAACATTTGTGAAGGCTCCCTCTTGTTTGTTTATTTTGACTCATGTATATGTACATATTTATAACTTATCGGAGATATCAATAAATAAGCTTTGCTTCATTTCAACGTATTATGTTAAATACACCAAAGCCTTCTTCACTGAGTGGGGTCTGCTATATGAATCTTAGAACGTCATTGTGCTCGGTCTTGTGTCATGTCCTCCGTTAGATCCAAGTACTCTAAGTCTTTTCTTAGAGTCTCTTCCAAAGTTTTCCTAGGTTTTCCTCTACCCCTTCGGCCCTGAACCTCTGTCCCGTAGTCGCATCTTCTAACCAGAGCGTCAGTATGCCTTCTTTGCACATGTCCAAACCACCGTAACCGATTTTCTCTCAGCTTTCCTACAATTTCAGCTACTCCTACTTTACTTCGGATATCCTCATTCCTAATCTTATCCTTTCTCGTGTGCCCACACATCCAATGAAGCATCCTCATCTCTGCTATGCCCATTTTGTGTACGTGTTGATGCTTCACCGCCTAACATTCTGTGCCATACAGCATCGCCGGCCTTATTGCAGTCCTATAAAAAATTTCCTTGAGCTTCAGTGGCATACGGCAGTCACACAACACGCCTGATGCACTCTTCCACTTCATCCATCTAGCTTGTATTCTATGGTTGAGATCTCCACCTAATTCTCAGTTTTTTTGCAAGATAGATCCTAAGTAGCAAAAACGATCGCTCTTTGGTATTTCCTGATTTCTTATCCTCACCCCTAACTCATTTTGGCCTCCATTTGCACTGAACTTGCACTCCATATATTCTGTCTTTGATCGGCTTAGGCAAAGACCTTTAAATTCCAACACTTCTCTCCAAAGGTTAAGCTTCACATTTACCCCTTCCTGAGTTTCATCTATCAACACTATATCGTCTGCGAAAAGCATACACCAAGGAATATCATATTGAATATGTCATGTTAACTCATCCATTACCAACGCAAAAAGGTAAGGACTTAAGGATGAGCCTTAATGTAATCCTACAATTATGGGGAAGCTTTCGGTTTGTCCTTCATGAGTTCTTACGGCAGTCTTTGCTCCTTCATACATATCCTTTATAACTTAGATATATACTACTCGTACTTATTTCTTCTCTAAAATCCTCCAAAGAATGTCTCTTGGGACCTTATCATACGCTTTTTCCAAATCTATAAAGACCATGTGGAAATCCTTTTTCCCATCTCTATATCTTTCCATCAATCTTCGTAAGAGATAGATTGCCTCCATGGTTGAGCGCCCTGGCATGAACCCGAATTGGTTGTCTGAAACCCGTCTCTTGCCTCAATCTATGCTCAATAACTCTCTCCCAGAGCTTCATTGTATGACTCATTAGCTTAATACCCCTATAGTTCATGCAATTTTGTACGTCGCCCTTATTCTTGTAGATAGGCACCAAAGTGCTCTTTCGCCACTCATTTGGCATCTTCTTCGTTTTCAAAATCCTATTGAAAAGGTTAGTGAGCCATGCTATACCTGTCTCTCCCAAGACTTTCCACACTTCGATCAGTATATCGTCTCGGCCCACTGTTTTTCTATGCTTCATCTTCTTCAAAGCTACAACCACTTCTTCCTTTTTGATTCGACGATAAAATGAGTAGTTTCTACACTCTTCTGAGTTACTCAACTCCCCTAAAGAAGTACTCCTTTCATGTCCTTCATTGAAAAGATTATGAAAATAACCTCTCCATCCGTCTTTGACTGCGTTCTCTGTAGCAAGAACCTTTCCATCCTCATCCTTGATGCACCTCACTTGGTTTAGGTCTCTTGTCTTCTTTTCCCTTGCTCTAGCTAGTTTATAGATATCAAACTCTCATTCTTTGGTATCTAGTCGCTTATACATATCATCATAAGCCGCTAACTTAGCTTCTCTCACAGCTTTCTTCGCCTCTTGCTTCGCTCTTCTATACCTTTCACCATTTTCATCGGTCATGTCCTTGTATAAGGCTTTACAACATTCCTTCTTAGCCTTCACCTTTGTTTGTACCTCCTCATTCCACCACCAAGATTCATTTTGGTGTGGAGCAAAGCCCTTGGACTCTCCTAATACCTCTTTTGCTACTTTTCAGATACAACTAGCCATGAAATCCCACATTTGGCTAGCTTTCCCATCTCTATCCCACACACACTGGGTGATTACTTTCTCTTTGAAAATGGCTTGTTTTTCTTCTTTTAGATTCCACCATCTAGTCCTTGGGCACTTCCAAGTCTTGTTCTCTTTTCTCACTCTTTTAATTTGTACATCCATCACCAACAAGCGATGTTGATTAGCCAAGCTCTCTCCCAGTATAACTTTGCAATCCTTACAAGTTATATGATCCCCTTTCCTCATTAGAAGAAAATCTATTTGTGTTTTTGACGACCCACTCTTGTAGGTGATCACATGTTCTTCCCTCTTCTTAAAGAAGGTGTTGGCTAAGAAGAGATCATATGCCATTGCAAAATCCAAGATAGCTTCCCCATCCTCGTTTCTCTCCCCAAAACCATGGCCACCATGAAAACCTCTATAGTTGTCTGTCTCTCTGCCCACGTGTCCATTTAAATCTCCTCCTATAAATAACTTCTCCGTCTGGGCAATTCCTTGCACTAAGTCTCCAAGGTCTTCCCAAAATTTCTCCTTCGAACTCATATCCAACCCTGCTTGAGGTGCGTACGCACTAATCACATTGATGAGTTCTTATCCTATTACAATCTTGATTGCCATGATTCTATCTCCTACCCTCTTGACATCTACAACATCTTGTGTCAAGGTCTTGTCCACGATGATGCCAACACCGTTTCTCGTTCCATTTGTGCCCGAATACCAAAGTTCAAACCCTGAGTTTTCTAGATCATTTGCCTTAAGACCAACTCACTTAGTTTCTTGTAGGCACATAATATTTATTCTTCTCCTCACTATAACTTCCACTACTTCCATAGATTTTCCCGTTAAGGTTCCTATACTCCACGTTCCTAAACGCATTCTACTCTCTTGAACTCTACCCTTATGTCCTAGCTTCTTCACCCTCCCCCGTCCAATAAGATCAAAGTACTTCTTTTGGGTGTCCTATGTAAAGTTGATAAGAGCATATGCTCCCAAACAACTTTGAGTGGAGTCGTTCGAAAAGAAGTTTCTATGGCCCCCTTGCTCATTTAACACTGCATCCAGGTGCCGATGGAGATACAACGACTCTTGCCCACTTATCACTATGCTTGGGCCACACAGTGCGCCACTTACGGGTGACACCCTAGCTTTAGCGCGATTTCGTTCTGGATTCATTTTCATAAAGATTCGACGTAACCGAGGAGTGCCGGTTGTCGACTACCTGACGCCTTCCCCCTCCTTCTTTACCCGGGCTTGGGACCAGCAATGTAAGATAAACTTACATAGACGGAGTTTTTTCATAAACTTCATATAAAAAAGAAAAACCATGTGCTATTCTTATAAGCATGAATGAGCAGAGTTCTTAAACCCACAAGGTTTTTTAACTTAATCAATCTGACCTATTAAATAAACAGCCTATGCAACACGAATTTACATAATTTTAACATGTTAATAAAACAGAACAATTTGTATATTCTGATGACAATTAATATGGTATGAGAGCAATATTTAACACAAAAGCAGAAAGAGCGTAAGGAGCTTGCAGAGTAGAAACAATGGTTACTATTCACCATGATGCAAACGGCGTAGCATAGTTCCCTGTAGCCCCTGAAACATCCACAAACGTATGTACGAACTAAGAAATATTTGTACAAGGAACATTAAACATCCAGGTATGGCGTGCAATGGACAATGCTACTCACAAAATGGATGAAATTTACAGTCTAACATATAAATTGGTTTTATCCATTTACAAATTATAAACTACGCGCATTAGTTCTCGCATCTTGTTATGCAGGGGTGTGCACATCGTATTGTATCTTGGCTCATACTCGCGATTCACTCAAATTTTACAACATTTTATGAAGCTTGTTTGATTTGAAAGGAAAAAAAAAAGCAATATTGATAAATGCTGTCATTACTTTTACCATGTCAAGGAACTCTATAGGACTGTCCTCATAATCCATATCATCCTCAGATAGGTCGAGCTCATGGTCAGGGCTACAAGATACATAGTACCTCCATTCGTCATTCTCAATTTCGCAACAATTAGGGCAATCCATGATACCCTTTACATTGAATGCAGAACCAACACAATCTGAAGAAAAGTGAGAGTTTAGGACATCAGAAAAACAAAAAACAAAATCCCGTATGATATGGTAAGCATAAGAGAGATAAGCATACACCTGCAAAGTACATTTAGACCAAAAGCCATTTGAAATACATTTAGACCAAAAGCCATTTGAAATAGCTCCAACCAAGTTTAATGAGAAAACCAACAACTATTAATAAACTCAATTTACACCCCTTGAGTTCTAAGATTTACATCAATGATGTTGAAACAAGCAATTCTCGAACAACTTAGGCGCACACACACACACAACAATAAGTGAAGGCTCCTGCCAACTCAGAGAAATACAACTCAGAGAAGACCAAGTAATAATAAATTAGAGCAATTGAAAACATGAGAGGACTCCAGGACATACCAAACTTTTGGATGGGAAAGTATTACTTTGCAAGACAAATATCCTTGTGGTAAAGCACACCCTCTTTGTTCCAAATATGAGCTGCCATGTGATAAAACTTAAGAAAATAGCCATTTCTCACTTAAACAAAGGCAATATACAGATTAAGGGAACAAAGGCAATACCAAAATTCATTACATTTAATAGTTCTCAAAGCAAATTGAAAGCTTAAGTACATGGAAGATAAGGTTGGCTTGTAGCTAAAAAAGCAGTAATTCAATGATTAAATTGATTGACATCATGATAATATCATAAAGTTCATAGCTAGCCAGCTAAACTTAAGTACATGGAACAATTAATCACTACAAAAACAGGAAAAAAAATATCCATTTTATGTCTCATAACACAGCACTAAAATGCAGCTAATAGTTATTCTAATACTCAAAAAATCGAATAATACATCTGTACCTACAAGAACCCTCAAACAAGTATGAGCCTCGGCAGCTTTGTATCTCTTACACGGAGATAACAGCAAATGATCAAATGCAATCCAATTCTTTCACCCTTTACCCTCAAGCAAAGCCCGCTAAACCAAATGCACTCCAAACATTATATTGTAAAATAAAAATTCTTGGTATGTGGAAAATTGACAATTCTTGGTAACCATGATATGTTTAAGCAATGGACCACAATTCTTGGTATGTGGAAAATTGACAATTCGTTTTCTCTAGAAGATCACCAATGTTATTTTACTCTGCATATGTTATTCTGCTTCATGTTACATTAGCTGGTTTATGGTCAAAATAACAGCTAATTTTAGTTTTAGAAATCTTAAGATTGATCAACTGCTTCTAAATGCTAATCAAATATTCCCATATGACCCAATGTTCTTAACTGTCTAATCATAAGTTGTTTACAAAGCCAACTCCCAAACAAGAAAAAGAACTGAAAACAAACAGTTGCTAGGATTACATAACCAATGGCTTCAGATAAGGAAAATCAAAATCTAGGTGTTTATTGTATATATGACCATCTGCATCGAATCATTCCCAATCCCTGGTCAATAATCATTCTCATGTTGGCTAAACGAATAATCTCTTCGCAGGAAACACAAAAAGAGATTTTATTTTAGGTTTGCAACACACTCTACTTATTTATCAACCGGAATTACAACCCAATTCAAAAGAATTGGGTTTTAACTCCCTCACCATGTCCATTTTCGCTTTTGGGAAACGACCCATTAACTGAGCAATCTAATTGAAATCTGAATTCTGATTTTGATGTACCTAAAATTGAAATCTAATTACACAAACTAAAATTGAAATCTGGACATAGAAAACATTGAGATAAAGAGATGTGAAGGGAACTTCAGAATTGAGGAAACGGCGAGGAATTCCGACAGAGGGTGGAGCGGAGGAGAAGCAGATGGATGGGTAATGGTTGTGGTCTTCCTTCGTCTTTGTCTTCGTCTAACGGAGTGGGAGAGAAGAGCGAGACGGAGTGAGAGAGAGGGCGAGATGAGCGAAAGGGAAGAGAGAGACCGAGTGAGAGAGAGGGTAGTGTCCGGAGTCTTCCAATTGCACCTTCATTATGAGTAATTTGGGAAAATTAAAAAAAAAAACGCCTATTTTTTTCAATTCCATGGCCAAAATTTTAACAACTAGTGTGACGCATTTGTTAGTCGCGCAAGTTTCTTTTTTCTTTTTTTTTTTAAATAATATTGTAAAATTTACTTAAAATGTAACTTTATTCTTTTTAAATTTTTTTTTACATAAAATCCACAATAATATATTTTTCTAACAAAACCCCATATGAATCATAATAATAAATTAAAGCTAATTAATATATATATATATACCATTTAATTTCTTAAGTTTTATACGTACAAAATAAATAAATTTAAAACCACTTATTAAATATATATATATATATATATATATATCATTCAACTTGATGAGATACGCATTCTACAAAATTAGTTTCAATGATCCAACCGTCAAACTTGTTTGTATATACTTCAAGATCGCATAAGCCAAAAATCACAAAAAAAAAACATTCAGATATCAAGTAACAGGTCAAAACTTTTTGACGATTATAAACAAAAAATCACGATTTAACGGTTATTTTAACTCTGATTTAAAAAAAATTATTATAAAATTGATTGAAAATGTGACTTTACTCTTTCAAATTCTTTTTTTTTTTTACATAAAACAGAATAATATATTTTTCTAACAAAAACCTGATCCGAACTACAATAATAAATTTAAAGCTACTTAATAAACATATATATCATTCAATTTCTTAAGTGTTATAACAAAATAAATAAATTTAAAGCTACTTAATAAATAAATATATCATTGAACTTGACGGTTATAAACAAAAATTCACGATTTAACGGTAGTTTTAACTCTAATTTTGATGATTTTTCATAGCTACACTCCTTGTGTTGGAAATGTGCCCTAAAACCAATCATACGATGATACTTTACGGACATTTCACATGTTAAACTAATATAGTTTAATTTAAAGGGCAAAGATTATTGTTTGAAGCCGTCTCATATAAATGTTATACGCTTTAACGATAAGTCCAAGGAATATGTAATTGAGAGAATGCGATATAAAGAAGTTAGATTCAAGAGACCGTTCTCTTTCGTATACATATCCTAAACGTTCCTGATCATAGGATTGCCAATTGGGCATTGACAGTCCGTTAAGATCAGTACGTGCTATGTCTTCTTTTAGGGAGAGTGACTGGTCTCAAGTCATTGGTGTGACTGACACCAAGACAAGTACGTAGGTGCTCAATAGAGAATGAGTTCACTGAACGCGATCAACAAGGACTTCTCATACTCATGTCACATGAGAACTCATGGTTAGGATAATGCAAAGTAGTTATTTGACCTGAGGCATCATAGTTGTCTTGTGGTTAGATCCTTGATCTTTGGCTATGTCAAAGTCACTCCATCCGAGGGTGTCCACGACATAGTTGGGGTTAAGCCACTTAGCCATGAAGGCAAGTGAATGCGCAACAAGGGATCTCTAACCTTCAAACTGTTTGAGGGAGAATACTCTATGATATGATTAAGAATCTCTGGCCAGAGTATGAATGAAATTTAGGAAGTCGTTCCAAATCACATTCAAGGTAATCATATAAGTAAATGAATCACATTGGATAGTAGACATGAATAAACTATCAAACCAAACAATGTGGTCAAGAGTATTGTATTAGAGAAAAACCGTATTGCATTGTAATCCTAAACTGAATAGGTTCTCCACCTCTTCTGATTAGCTTGGGTAACCATGACATACTGCTAGGTGTTACTCATGGTTTGTAAAAGCCCTAAATGTGTATAATCACTAAAGGGAGAATTGAAAATAAGTTTCAATTCACAATCAATTTGAAAGAGTTCTAATCGCCTACTGCCTCGCTAAAAGGAACCTAATGGATCGTACACCGTGTAAGGTAGAGATTGAAGAAACAACAGAGATGAGTAAGGATAATTAAATGGTTTAATTATTTATGGCTATGATTAATTAATATGTTAATTAATCAAACAAAGATGTTCGTTATAGACCTCGGGTTAGTTTTGGGCCGCAAGGCCCAATGAGATTTGAATGTCAAGCCCATTAACTCAAGTTGTATGACAACTTGAAACCATAAAGGGCTTGAAAGCCCAATGAACCCTTAATGGCCGGCCATATAGAGAGGGGTAGTGAACTTGGCTTAATTGCAAGTTTGCCACTCCATTGTGAGGTGGTATAAAGGCAAATTTATAGCAATTTCATCCTTAGGGTTTCTTTTGGAGAAAAAGATGAGAACACAAGCTCCATTTTCTCTCTAAGAGGCCGGCCACCCTAGAGGATTTTAGCTAGCAATCTTACTTCCCCTAGGTCACTCATCTATTCTTCAAGTCCTACCTTGGTGTGGAAACTTAGAGGTTCTCAACTTTGGAAACTTGGAGAATCCTTTCAACCATTCTCATCCAAGAAATCCATAGAGCTAAGAATGAAGGAATGAAGGCCCTCTCCTTGGGTGATTAGCCTTTGCTTATGCAAAGAGGAATCAACAAAGGTATAAAATTTCTCAACTCACTTTGTTCTTGAGTTGAGTCTTGGTTCACCTAACTACTAGGCTTTGATTTTCATGGGTAATGTTTTGTTTTTTAGTGCATACAAGCATGATTCCACCTTTAATTGTTAATTGCATGTCATAGATGTTGCTCAAATGAACATATTTTTCACAAATTTTCCTTCAAGTGGTATCAAGAGCCTAGGTCTAGTAGTTGGTGAATCCTTTTGGGTTTTGTATTTTCATAGTTTATGATTTGAATGTTGTAATTGTTACAAGCTTTATTCTTGCCTCTTTGAATGTAAATTTTGTTAGAAAATTTGCCATCTCAAATGTTGTAGATGTAGTTCATATGAGCATGAATTTTGGAGCTAAAATTTGGTGCCATATTTTTGGGGAAATTCGGCCAAATCCAAAGGGTGGATTTTTGGGTTCATGTTTGTCTTGTTAAAAGTGTTTTAAAGTGACATTAGGAACCCCTAAGTACCATAGTATGGTAATATGTTTTTTCCCTTAAGTTTGAGAGTTTTTTGGGTGTCTTTGGGTGAAAAATGTTCATGGAGCTCTTATGGGTTTTCATGGATGTTCTTCATTGTTCTTGTTATGTTTTTGGTAAGAACAAAAAGGTTGGGTATTTTGATTCAAAGTTTTTGGTTGTTTACATAAAGTTTTTGTTAGTGATGGATGGTTTGAATTTTCAATCAATACCCATACCTTTTTTACTATTCACACCGTACCAATCACTTACACATTTTCCTTGTTTCAAGGAACCATATTTTATGAAAATCACTTTTTCAAACCTAACCATCACCTTTCACTTTTGTTGAAAAATTCAAAAGTTTTATGACACTTTCTCTCATCCAAAACCGGCCACCCTATTAAATAGGGTTCTTTTGGGGCTTTTATGCAATTACATAAAGTTTTGATACTTTGTGTATTTGTACTTTGACCCGAAAGTTTACATTTTTATGTAAATGCCCAAAATCACTAAAGGACAAAATGTTTTGCTCCTTTAATGAAGTTTTTGTATTTGATGAAATTTTTGGGTTCTAGTTAATTACATGAAGTAGTGAACTTTTGTGTTTTTACAAAGTGACCTCAAAAGTTTGTGTTATGCAATATAGCCCAATGGTTGAGGTTATTGTTTTTCGGCCCAAATTAGTTGAGAACAAAATAGTTTTGTATCTTTAAATGAGAATTGGATTTTCATTTCATTTAGCTCCATTTAAATCAATTATATGGATACAAAAACCAAATGAAAATGTTGCATTCAAGTTTAATTAGTTAAAGCGTTAATTAATTAAAGAAAGGGTGATTATGAACCTACGCCTATGATAATTGAGCTATGTGAAAGGCCGTCTCAAATTTGTTTGAACCATGGGAATGTGTAGATTAGATTTTGGTTGTAATTTGATATGATCAAATATTGTAAAAGGGCATAAGCTTTTCTTTACTTTAAAGTAATTTGTTTTGATCAAATGTTGTAAAAGAGCATACGCTCTTCTTTACTTTGAAGTACTTCTTTCTTGCTTTATTTGATATGCATGAAATGAAGTAGAGGGTCCAACGCCCAATAAGAAAACACGCCTTAATGTGATTAAACGCGTAACTAAAATCAATCACCATCCCTAGACCGAGATTCAACACTAGGCTCGTGTTGGATCGAATCAAAGGTTCATAGTCATCCTAACGCCTTAAGGCAACTATATAGTCCATCAATGAATGCAAACCTTATGTTAGTAGTACCATATACTCTTGCTTTAAAAACCGTTTTACAAGCATAGTTTTGGACTTTGTATAGTTTGGACATAAAACGCTGCCTGGAATCGCGTACCAACATCTCCGATTCTTGTCATGTAATATCTCTACTAATTAATAAAAACCCTCTTTGTCAACCAAAAGAGAGTGAAAAGACAAATTAGTTTTCTATCACACAAAAAAATGATGGGCAATAATGTAATTTCACATGTCCAAATTTTACAGTTTTTTTATTGAAGCCTCACCTACAGGTGATGTTAAAATACCTCCAATATTATAGAAAAAAAAAAGCAAAAGCAAAAACCTCCCACTCCCCCTACTTTCTCTCTCTCTCCCTCTCTCCTCATTTTCTAAAAAAAATGTGTTCATACACACAAAGTGTGTAGGCAAATGCTAGTATGAATGAAAATAACACTCTTTGGCTATGCCATACCAACATTTCAATTTTGTTAACTTTTGTTCCTTACGCATAATTTGTAAGGAACATCTAAACACATGGATCGAATATATGTATGTAACACTACTTTTTGTTGCATATATTTTTGAGACATTCCACACGTTAAACAAAGTTTCAAACCCCACACAACATGTTGATACACTTAATAGTATATACTACAACACAATAATCATAATCATCTCAAAAAGTTAGAACTATCGAATTCAAATCTTATAAATACTCCAATTTCAACCTAATTTATTTTCGAAAGTTTTTAACGAAATTTTTAGGTTTAGAATAAGAAAGTTAGCTTGACCAAAAAAAAGA